TATTTGATATCACACCTCAGTCTAAAAGGCAAACAAATAAAAAGCCATCATTAAATGTACCTTAAACCTATTCAAATATAGCAGCAGAAGACCTGATGAACTCGAGTAACTTGCAGAATACTATTATCCATTGCTCATCTCACTTTGTGTGCTCTATAGTACTCTCGGCTAGATTAAGATAGACTTCAATAGACTGTAAAAGGCAGCAAGGCTATCCGACTTGTCATGTATGCCTCACAGCTGCCTTCGTGCTCTACCATTCAAGCAAATCCGATCACTTTCTCCTTTGTCAGGCAATATCGATGCAACAAATCTCCAGGCAAATCTTGAACGAGGCAAATTCACATGCCCAGCCGATATTGGGGACCGGGCACACATGAAGGCACCAGGCCATTTAATGCCTTTAAGGCGGAAGAGCAGGTGCTCACTTATTTCATTAAGAAGAAATTAGAAGAATCAATCATTTCTTTAAAGCATTCGGTGTCAGAATAACCCCCTGTCCTAAAGTTTCTCACAAACCACCCATTCTGCTCGACATGTCTCAAGATTGCAACCGGGTGTCTTATTTTGAAAGTCTGCATTAATTTAGGTCCTATATGACATTAATATGCAGAATAACTAATTCAATCAGTTGCCGGTTGCGTTATTACTTTAATATAGTAAGCTTGCTCATTGGCCTTATTATATACATATGTATATATTTGATACAGGTCTCACCACATTAGTTTTAGTAATGATATCGTTGCGGCTACTTCCCCATTTCTATTGGCATTGCAACTTTTTCGAATAGCACTTCATGTCCCGTTTACCATCGTCCTGGTGACGCATGTGCCTGAAGAGAAATAATTAATCCTTTGCGATACCACAATTAAGGCTGGAAAATAACAATTCGTTGTGTAGACGTCTTTACTCACGTGAAAATACCTGTGTGGACTTGAATGACCTTAGATGTGTTCCGAAGAGTTAAGTCGGTCAGGTCACAAGAATACAATGGAATACAGGTCTCGACTGGTTACAATGGCGTTACTAATGTGTAGGTGTTTCAGGACATAGCGGTGCCTTAATCATTCATTGCACTTAATTTGTCGCTGATGGCTTTATCTCCCAAACAATGCGACGACAATTCAAACGTCCATTAGTAACCCATTCTGCTATATGAAACTCAATCCTTGACCACAATCAGAGGAACAGGTACATTTACTTGAGTCAAAATTTGCCAAGAACACCGCCTTGTTTCCTCCAAGTACGTAGGCACTACACTTGTGAGAGCTTACTGCAAACAGCAAACTTGCATCCACATGGTGATGGTACAAACATGATGGACAGTAGTCTGACAACAAAGGTCTCTTATTCGCAGTTGTAACTATAGTTCATTTTCTTAGTTATGCCATCCGCAGGTATGCTATAGTTGCTTTAGGAAAAAATGGTATCCCTAAGTTTAGCGGGACTTCATTTCATGTCCCACGCAATCCACGACATCCATCTTATTTGGAATACCTGGCAAAATCACTTTTACAATGAGTAAATTAAAATTAACTATTAAAGGATAACAAAGGAATGGATGAATACGTACCCGAATAATAGTCGACGAAAAAGTACGGCGGCAGTTGTGAGCATGGCACGCGTTTATGGCTAGCGAAATGCCTTGCGTGCATTTACATGCTCTCCAGTGTGACCTTATCATTATAGTTGGCTGATTAAGTGGAACTACAGCCGCCTATAATTTTGTTTAAGTGTGTGCTCAGGTAATCCGGATGGCAAGTTATTTTGCCTGCGCACATTTAGTGCTGGGACAATTCACAACAGGATGTGTAGTATGTAGCAGAAGATTTTGCAATGGCAGTGGATACCAGACATCACTAAGCTCCACGGTGGACGTGGGCTAAGAAACACCACGACTGCACTTCTCACTGAATAGCTCACCTTAACAACTGTATGACGGGCATTACAATGAAATTTAAATGAATATGCATGTACTTTGTGAGCAAACAGACAAGAGAGTTATAAATGTTGTTTCTGTGAAATCATCTAAATTGGCAGGAATTCTCAGGACTAGGAGAAATTGCCGACACAAGTTGTAGAACACTCAAATAAAGATAATAATACGCTTTGAGCAATGTCAAAAAATCGACTGCTTTGAGTTGTGATACCCGTTTTTCCCATTCGAGAAAGTGTCTTTAACTTACATCTATGGTGGGGTAAGAATAAGTCGCTCTATCGAATGCAAAAATGACTGCAAAATATTGCACTCTCTGTTCCTTCCTTTTTTATTTACTGACCCATTTTTGATCTCAGCTAATAAATCGTCTCTGAATGAGGAGGTGATTTGCAATAGAACGAAATGCTATGTCCCAGTACATGTCACACCAAATAGATTTGGTTTCAGAGCAAACGCTCCATTTAAGTGCTGTCATTTGGTGGAGTTTGCAATGGCGACAAAGTCATCCGGACCACAGCTATCATTCTAATTATGCTGTTAAGGTTAGTTTTAGATCACAGCCTTGCTTGACTCGTCAGCATTCCAGCTGTCAATCAAACTTTGTTTTCTTAGCTTTATTGTGACTGTCTCTATTAAGCCGCAATCGAGCCTGGGGGATACCCTTATCTGAGAACCCGCAAAGTTGCATGTGTGAGTGGAGTAAATATCCTTACCGACTCTTATTCCCTCTGCCCAAAATTGCAAAATTAAAATCAACTTAGTATAAAGTTAGGAGAAGCAGAATAAAGTTATCCAGGGTCGTTGTAAAATGGCCACGACTACTTAATTTACACGTTAAATGTACCTACCAGGTACCTTGTTAGACCAGTAAGGGCTTTACTTTAGCTCCTTTTTTGTCTTTGCGTCATGCCTATATGGCCAGCGTGGTCTCTACAAACTTTCATTAAGCGCAATTCAAGTGCCACGTATTTATTTTAAAACAATCTACTTCCATGCTGCAAGTCGCTTGTATCAAAATAACAAATCGCCATATTTGTATACGCATTTTCCTTTTTTGATCGGCCTTGTATATGCCAGCTTAGATTTTTGGTCTATAAAGTTTAGGCACCCCAAATATGATGAAAAAGTGCTGGCTACCGAGTTGAATTATGGAAGATGACGCATTTTGAGAAGCGATAAGGCCAAAGCTATCCTGCTCCGTTTCATGCCTAGTTCACTTGTGAAGAGAGGCCGATGTCTCCAGGAGAACTACCATTGTTAGGGTGAGCTGATTGGGACAGCGCGAAGTCGACTCTTCGCGGAATTTCTACAACGATTCAGGTGTGGCGTTACTCACTGACTACCTAGATGAGTAAATGATTGATCAATGATCGACGGGTACTAGATAATAATAAAAGGAGCTTGATGCCACAAACTCGCATGCACGGGCACACAAATGTTGGAGGTGTATAGGTGACTCAACTGTAAGCGTTTCATTGTCACTAAGCACGAGAATGTATCAGCAACTAGCAAACGTTCAGGAAGCATGCACCATCCTCCCTGAGGTAAAATATTTCGCGTCTTAGACGCTGAAGGAGAGAGGCTATCATTTACCGCAACACGTAATTGAAGAAAGCGAACAAAAGCGACTTTATGCCTAGGGTCTACTAAAAGATGGTGCTCAGCAATTTATTAAAAGTAAGTTGCCGATGATGACTCAAAGACTATTCTGCAATAAGTCTTCATCTTCTTTATGCACCAAACACTGGCCCTTTTAAGTTGATTTGAGGAAACCTCTGATGATTCCAGCTAAATAGTCCATATGTAATTCGATTTCTTTCCTGCCATAACAAACACGGAGAAAATAAGTTGTGGTACTAATCGTAGAAGCACTTCACCTCTTCCCTAACGCCGCTTCACAACGATGTTGCATTAACCTTCAACTTCAGACATATGTTTGACATTTACCTTAACGAGCTACAGTCTCGAGTTACACGGAAGGCTTGAAGCAGTCCTCCAGGTCGATGTTTGTATTAGTAATCTTCATTCACAAATGTGTAGTAGAGACTCTGGGATATTTAACCACTTACCACAAACCAACGATTATTGGCGATTCATCTGTTCCAGTCGCGTCTTTTCCTTTTCATTTGCGATACCGGTTCAACGACTTTAGTCGGATATTATGTACAATATGAATAGTAATGATTTGAGGCCTAATAGCACCACAAATACCTGATTCTCGGGCTCTTCCAGCCCACGCGCATTTTTTGCATATGAGTAGATGAGCTATCCAGATTCCACTGAGGGTCAG